CCCTGGCCGCCCGTTCCTCCTCTTCCCGGCCATGGCAGGGTCCTCCTCTCCATGGAGGCCGGTTCCACCCATCCATGTCGGCCGTTTCCTATCCCCATGGGCAGTTTCCTCACTTCTGGATGCCTAATAATCTCTCTTTTTCTATCATTTTGTAGCAGCTCGACGGAAGGACTCCAAGCAGCGGGTGCTCGACGGCCGGAATTGAACTGTGAAGGTAGAATAACACCCCCCCCCCTTGTATATGCAGCTAGTGTTCATGTTTATTTGTTGTCCAGTGTATGTTTGCAATATATATGTTGATGTAAGCATCATTGGTAACTTGTAGATGGTCATGAAGATGAACAAAAGAAAAAAGATGGTTAGGGGAGCTGCTGTTTTTGTTGCACTAGCTGCAATGGCAGTAATTGTTCGGGCTATAGTAAGGAAGAGAAGACCACGTATTACCTATGGCCCAATGCATGAAAGAGATCGAATCAGATACGATTATCTAAACCAAAAAATTTGGTAAAGCGATGTCTTATGTAAAAACATGCTAAGGTTTGAAAGAGCTGCATTCTTCAATTTGTGTGCCATAATGAGGGATCGCAAGTTGCTAGAAGATAGTCCACATGTTAGCGTGGAGTAACAATTATCGATGTTTTTGCATACAATTGGGCATAACCTTCGGAATAGAGTGGTGTCAGCCAATTTTTGTAGATCATATGGCACAACCAGCATCTATTTTAGAAAGACTCTTCATGCCATAGGCGAGCTTCATAATGATTATATACGGCCACCATCATTGGAGACCCCCGCAAAAATTGAAGGAAATCATCGATTTGACCCATATTTTAAGGTAATTTCAGAAACTATTCCTTAGGTATGTAGGCCATATGATGTGACATCTACTAATTATCCCTCTATAGGATTGTATTGGAGCTATCGATGGTACACATGTGCGAGCTGGTGTTACAAAGATGTCGAACATTCATTTCGTGGTAGGAAGGCCTTTACAACCCAAAATGTGATGGCAGCGGTAGATTTTGATCTCCGCTTCACATATGTGTTAGCTGGTTGGGAAGGGTCAGCACACGATGAGACCGTTTTAGCTGATGCATTAACGCGAGAGAGAGGCTTACAAGTACCACCAGGTAAGAAGTTGCCTTAGATAGTTATTGTCCATTTGGCTGGACAGATTGTACCATTTATCATATTTGAATAATGCTATAATCCCTGTTTTGCCTTCTTTTGTTGGCTGGACAGAAATGGAGGGTGTTGAAGTCACCGCTGCAAGTGCAAGCTCGGGGAGAGCTGGGATCATTGTGTGGACCAATTCCATGACGAAAACCATGCTGGGTTTTTTGGCTGGTCTTGTTGCTGATGGGAAGAGGACTTCAAGTGGATTCAGGGATGTGCATCATAGACAATGTGCTGCTGTCTTGAACGGGCAATTCAAGCTTTCTGTCACTGGAGATCAAGTCAAAAACCATCTCAAGAAGTGGAGGAAGATTTGGGGAAGGGTAGTCAACTTGAAGAATTTAAGTGGAGCTCTATGGGATGAAGATACTTGCACAATTAGGCTAAGCGACGAGCACTATGCAGGGGCATTGTATGGTATGCTTCTCAACCCACAAATCTAATGCCTTCTTATGTTTGCATTATGCTAATCATTTTGAGCATTGTTTGTAGACCCACAAAGCTGATGCCCCCTTCTTGAATACCCCAATTGAATACTATCATGCCTTGGCTTCCATTTATGGGACAATGGGGGCTAAGGGGCTGGGTGCTAGGTCTGGCAATGATCTTCTTTCTATTGATATTGAAGACGAGGAGAATGGTGAGGTGAACACGTCACCAAATGTTGGTGAGTCTTCTGACCCCAAAGCACCACCCAAAAAGAAGGCTAAGGTAAAGAACATTGTTGATGATCCACTGGTTACCACTCTCAAAGATGGGTTCAAACTTGTGGCTGAAGCGCTTGCTAAGTCTAGTGGAGATGATGATGATATACCCGATGACCTTTGGGATGTAGTGTCTGTATTGCCAGATTTTGATGAAGAGCACCTAGCCCACTACTATGCCCATCTTGTGGACAACCCCAAGACAGCAAGAGCCTTCATGAAACTTACCCAAATCAACGAGTCTGTTTGGGTGAGTAGGTATGTGAAGAAGAACTTCTAAATTCGATATGGTTGTATGCTTGACAATTATGTGAACTTGTGGCTGCTTTTGAAGACTGCGTTGTGAACTTGACATATGTGGTTGTCAACCAGTGGTGAACTTGACATGTATGACTATTGCACTTTGATGCTTTTGGGAATTTCGTTTGTGAACTGTATGGTTGTATGTGCACCTTGTTGAAAATTATGTTATATGTTGTCATTCATGTGTTATAAACTTGTCAATATCAACTGTTATGTTGTTTTTAATCAAATTACAAACGAAATGCTGCCAAAATTTTAAATTTTAGGTCGTTTCATTTTTCATTACGTGCTTCCAACCAAACACTGGAACGGAACCGACCCGTTCTACTTTTTGCTCCTACCAAACACAGGAATGGAACGGACCCGTTCCTCTGGAATGGAACCATTCCATTCCATGACAGTTGGTCCCCCAACTGAACACACCCTAACATAATAAATGTGATGCTACTATGTGTCATGCATGGCAATAAATGAGACCATCTATGATACTAATCTATGATACTATGCACTATAGAGGTAGTAACATAGACTAGTAACATATGCATGTTACTAGTCTAAGTTACTCCCCACTATGACCAGCCTGAACCTATACGTGTATGTAGGAGACGTTAATTAGCGATAATTAAGCAAGAATTAGAACCGGCTCCGCATGGAAGTTTCTTTCTTCCACGGAGCATTCACTGCATACCATTTATTGTTGCGCCGTGGGGTTTGCCGGACTCGATCTTGCGGCCCCAGAAGGCGTCGAACTCGTCGGGGGCACCGAAGAATAGCTCGAGGAGCTTGATGTGGGCCTTGCCGACATCACGGTCGCCGAGGGCGTGTTAGGCGCGGAGCAGCACGTCGACGGGTACAATGACGTCGGCGGGCACTATGAACCTGAGTACCTGACCATGGCGTTTCGGCTGAGGTGCACCCGCTCATGTTGGGGTCAACGAGGGTGTGCCCAGCGCGGAGCAGCACGTCGATGGACACAAGAACAATGGCGGGCACGATGAACCTGACCATGGCGTTCCAAGCCGGGCTCTAGCCGCCGGAGTCTTGTGTGTGTGCACATCGCTGGATCCGCTTCATGGTGGAGGCCGCCGCAGCGCAACTGACCATAGGAAGATATGGTCGTGTGTGAGGGGTTCGACAGCGGCATCGAGGCGCCGGAGACGACGACGGGCGGACGGTGTCGGTGCAAGTGTGTGGAAGCGCACGTCAGCGCCGTAGATGGAGCCGGAGACGACAGGCAGACGGCATCGACGTTCGTGCATGGGGTCGCGGCCCTGGTGCGTCAGACGACACCGGAGATGATGACGGCGGACGGCGTCGCTTCACCGTCGGGGAGTAGAGCCACCAATCCGCTTCTTCTCTTTAGATGATTGATTACGCATGAGTGGTGTCTGATCCTACATTATAAAAAGATAAACCCATTCTTAAATGATTAATTAAAGGAAGACTAGATCAAGAGGAGACTTCCCTAATTCTTTTGCTTGTATGAATGACGCGATGACCAGAGCTCTCGCGACCAATTTCTCTAGCGATGGTAGTTGATCCGCTTTTGAAGATTAAAGAAAAACCATTTGGTGATCTATATGCTGCAAAGCCGGATGCCCAAGCTAAAAATCAAGATTCAGGATATATCGCGACAACACACATCAAAGTTACTATCTCATGCCCCCGCTCATGCCCCCGCTCGCAACCTCGCCGCAGCTAGCAGCCTCGTCGCAGCTTGCTCCCTCGTCGCCGATATCTTCCCCTCCGCAGAGCGCTCCCTTACCGCGGCCCACGCCCTCGCCGCTGCTTGCGCCTTCGTCGCTGCAGATCCAGGGCTGCCATACCTCGCTGCTCCCTGGAAGATCGGTGAGGGTGGTGTGCAGATCAGGCACGTCCTCCCGCTCTGGGAGCACGACGGCGGAGGGTCTAGGCTGGGTGATTCAGGCCTCTCCCCAACGTGCGGGGCTGCGAGAAGATGAGCGCGACCGGAGTAGGTGCGTCGGATCTGGAGATAGTGGGATTGATCTTGGAGTTGGGTCGATTGGAGAGGGAGGCGGCGAGAGCTGCAAGGGCGGTCACCGACGCACGACGCAGTCTGGCGATTCGAGCGTTGTCGCGCGTCAACGAGGAGGAGCGAGAGAGGATTTTTGCGCTCGGGAGCCTGACGACGGAGTTAATCCTCAATTGGGCTGCCCGAGAGGCGGAATCCTGCTCTCGCGTTCAGCGCAGGAGGTGGGCGCTGTTCAGGGACATTACTTGAGGCTTCCGTCTGATACATTCTGCGTTGGATCAATGGAGGTGCCGACCTCCCAGAATGTGGTGGTGGTTTGGGGTGCTGCTCACCGGCGGAGCCGGCCACCCTCCCCGCCGCCATTGTTGCGCTCCCCGACAAGAGGCGCATGGAGGAGGCCCCCACATGCCAGCGACTTGGATGTACAAGGCCCAGTGATCAGAGAGGGAAAGTTGGGAAAAGCGAGTCAACAGGTGAAGGCGCTTTCTCAAAATCCGCTTCCGTGGTGGGCTGCGAAAAAGGATAAAATCTCAGCTAGGGCTCGTCGCCACCGGGGAGATCTCTCTGATTTGGTATGGGTGTGGAAGGATCTGTTCCAGTCAGGCGTGTTCTCGGTGGATGATTGTCATCCTGTGGGGTGGGCTGATTGGCTGCCAAATCCTAAGTTCTTCAAATTCTCTAGGGATTTCTCGGGGAGACGTGAAGGAAGAGTTCCTTACGCGGCGATCGTGAAGAAGATGGCAGGTGCAGGAGGGCAAGGATCCAGAGGAGGGAGATACGGTGCGGGGAGGGGGAGGAATGAAGGAGGGCGTATAATTCCCCCTACGGCACAGGGGGCTGAACCAGCTGCTCATCCGCCTCCTCCAGTCCGCCAGGTGACCCCCGTCAGATCTAATCCTCCTGTCTCCATTTTTGCCAAACCTCCATTGTCCCCTTGGTTGCGGCACCACCGATGATGAATCACGAGGCGCAGATGTACCCTCAGTATGGGGGGTGGAACCCGCACTTTGCTCCTGTGGGTCCCTGGGTGCCACAGCCGCAGTATCCATACCAGTTCATCCCCCCGCCTGCAGGGCACCCGGCAAGCTTTCTTGCGCTAATGCAAAGCAGTGGGAGTCAAGCAGGTAGCAGTGGGCAGGCTGGTGCAGGCAAGAGCAAGAAGAAGCAGAAGAAACCTACTAGAAAGACTGAACAGAGGAAAACTGATGAGACAGATCAAAGTTCAGATTCCGGTGAACCTTTTTGCATAGATCCTATGTATGCAGGTGCCATATGCTACAACTGCGGTCTGCCTGGTCACTTCGTGGGGATGTGCTCTGTCCCAAAAATTTGTTTCATCTGCAGAAACCCTGGTCATCATATGGATGTCTGTCCAACTTGGTATAAAGCCTATCCTTTCAGCCAGTACTTGGGCAGTGCAAACAGTGGTCTGGGATTCTACCACATTGAGACTGGGAAAAAGAGTGATGCTGATTGGCTCAACTTTGGTAATGTTGGGCTGGTTTTTGTTCAGGAGGGTGAGATCAGTGCCAAGGAGCTGGAGAAATGCTTTACTGATATGTGGAAGACTAACTGGCCATGGCAAATCAGAGCTTATGATGAGAAACAATATTTGGTCAGATTTCCACCCAACAAAAAGATCCAGGACCTGGTTGAATATCCATCCATCAATCTCAAGAAGAAAGGGGTGACCATCCTGTTTAGGGATTGGAATGGAGAGCACCCAGCCTATGACAGTCTACAGGAAATATGGATTGAAATTGGAGGACTCCCACCTAAGTGGTGCTCTTGGAATGTAATTGCTCAGATTACATCCTCTCTGGGTTTCTTATTGAATGTTGACCGGCATGGCATTTTCAGGAGTTTTTATGATAAGGTTAGAGTCCAAGTAGCTGTCAGAGATCCCACAAAAATTCCTGAGGATAGAATTTTTGAATTCTGTCAAGATTTATTTCTGCTGACCTTCAGAGTGGAGGATGATACTCTTATGGCCTCACCACATGACCCCAGTGATCCTGGTGAAGATGATCAAGCTGAACAGGATAAAGAGGAGGATGAGGAAATTGAGGATGATGACCTTCTGGGTGAAGAAATGAGGAGAGGACATGAAAGTGGAAAGACACCTGCACCTGATGGTAGACCCACCCCCACAACAAGAGGGACAGGAAATACTCTGGCCCTTGTTACCCCTGCTCCTACAGCTGACATGGAGAAAATCTCTGTTAAAAAGGACAAGGTGCTCCACTTGCCAAAAGCTATCTGCAGGTAGCTAAGAAAAGACCTGCTTTGAACATCTCTGGACCTTTGCTAGCTCAGTTTGAAGAGGCAGTGGATTGTAAAGGAAAAGGGGACAAGATCATGGAACCCCCCCCCCCCAAATGGCAAGGGTAAGTGGGGACCTATCATTGCTACAAGAGTCAGTGCCAGGATCCAGAGAAGTGGGGTACCCAGCCTAAAGAAAGCTCAAGAGCTGAAACAAATCCAAAATCTGGAAGTACCAAAAGGTAAGAAAAATCCTGGTTTTAAGAATTCTTTTAGTTGCTTAGATGATAATGTACTGGCTGACATAGCTGATAAAGCTGGGGTGATCCTTGGTAAGGATCCAACTCAAATCACCGGTAATATTAAGATCATCAAGCAGCTGGAAGATGCTAGATTAGATAAATTCCATCAGGACAACCCTGACATGTTTCTACCACCTAACATTGATGTTAGTTGGGAGGATTTTGTTCATGGTGAGAAACCTGATTTAAATTTTGATTTCCCTTCTTCTAGTACTCACATTAGTGAGATATAGGAGACTGATCATCCTTGGCTTGAGGTGAACAGTAAAAAAGGGAGTAGATCTAGGAGGAAAATTTATTTCCCTGATAAATGATAGGTTTATTTTGGAATGCTAGGGGCCTAAATGGGCCTCATAAGAGCTTGAGAGTGCAAGAGCTTATGAAAGCACACTGCCCTGATTTTGTATGTATTTCTGAAAC